TTATTAAGGTTAGTTTCGCCTTATCAGTTTAAGAAATTTTAAATCATTTGAGTAGTGATTAGAGGTGACGCTTTGCCATGCGCCTTACTGTGAATTATTCACACTAAATCACTATTAGCAATAAAACTGAATTATTCTATATTATTATAATCTAAAAGTAGAAATGATATCAAATTTAGCGGTCAAGAAAACTTCTATTATTCCATTTCACTTTTGATTTTGGAGAAACTTTATTGACATTTAAGCACAATCAAATTACTCGAGACAAATTAAAATGAGATTAACAAAGTTAAAATACTTTACGTAATTATAATAAAGGGGCAATTGAAGAGATTTTGAAAGCGCAAAAAATTTTTAATGGATTGAGAGAGGAGCTATATAAAATGTCCCCTAATTATTTTTTTAAAGCGCCCATCCGTGTAGGGTTGAAATTTGAGGGGAGAGCCAAGTGGGTGTGCGATAGACTTACCTCCACGTGGTGCACCCTGGAAATATGCCTTCACTATCAACATCTTATTTGGAAGCGGAGGGGTGTGTGCGATAGACTTACCTCCACGTGGTGCACCCTGGGCATAGTATACTCATGCGGCAAAAAAGTCTATTAACTGGCAGTTGATTTCTTACTTCAAACTACTATGACCTGATTCTATGCCATATTCTATCACTTCCACAATACTCGTCTTACCTTTTCTCTGCATTTGTGCCCATTTCTTTTACACCTTTGAAACAATCTTGCCTGCCCCCCCCCCTCTCGACTTTTTTCTCTTCGATTTTCCTTCTCCTCTGTGAAGCCTGAAGTCAACTAAAGGGCTAATGATAACTATCATAACGGCTGCCATTTGATATAAATAAATACATCTCGCTATTTATTTATTCTAGCAGGTATTGAAAAATCGAACAAAAATAACACTCTTATCCGGGGTTAATTAAACTAAATCGCGTTCAAACCAAAATCTTCATATAGCTTCGTTGGGAAGTTTCTCCCCATCATCAACACTTAGAAGTTAACTTGCTTCACTAATGCTTGTCTAGACACCCATAATCATTTTTACTTAGATCATGCTCGATGAAAGTTAAGAGTGATGGGAAAATGTTCCTTCTTTATTCATCTTTCAAGTTAAAGGCATTAGTAAAAAAATTAATTCTATTATTTTGTTATTTTATCACATTTTAAATGTAAAATAGTAATTCACCTTATTTAGGATTAAATAAATTTAAAAAATTAAATTAGTAAGTTAAAAATAATTAGATTTCTTAATTGAGACTTTTAATCAAATCCGAGGCTGTTATCTCTTTTAACTAATCTTTTGCAAATAATCGGAAACTTAATTCTCTTAGAAGTCAATAATCTCGTGTAAGGTAAGCCATTCAATCTTAAGGCTATAAATTCATTGCACTTGAATACGTAGCAAGAAACAAATTTCAAATGAAAATTCAAACTTTCTCATTTCTTTCCCTTGGATTTGCGGTACTTTGCTTGACTTTTTTTAATTTTTTTCACTAACTCATTCCTGCAATACAATTGGTTGAATTACTTTACCTTCAAGAGGACTTTTTGACTTTTGAATATGGAGTCAAATGAACAATCTTTTTCCTGGTTTCGTTAAAAGTGGCTCATCTTATTAAAAAAACAGGCAATAGTAAGAAACTTAAAGAAAGCAATCGCTTTTCACAACATTTTCGAGAATTAATTCGAATATTAAATAGATTTCCACTTTTATTTCTACCCCAAAAATCGATTGGCTTAAGTTATGAAAAGTATGATTACTCCATTGTTTATAACAACAATTGAAAATAACATCTTTAAACACTCATTGAGAGATTAATTTTACAATCAATCGGAACGAATAAGCTAGATATAGGGAAAATCAACTGAGATTCATTTATTAACAAATATTAATATTTGATCGAATGGCATGCACACTAGTATAATAGAGTTCCGATAAAAGGTTTTTAAGGACCTACAAAATTAAAAATGCTCTTCAATGGGGAAGTACCCACTTACACAATAATAAGCTCTATCCTGATCCATTCAAATCCTATTTACGACGATCAATCTGTTAGCACTACTAAAACCTACATTTTCGCTTTTCAATATTATTGCTGAAAATTACTTAAACGCCTGGAAAACTATATCTTAAATGCCATTGGTCGGTGACTACTTTAAAACATTTTGTTTTGGAAATTTTATTTTAATTTCTCCATCATCTTCAAGGCCTTGTCATTATACTTATAAGCCAGAGTTCGTCTTTAAAAATTATTGGAATAAATGAAACTAAATTAGTGTTGGTTTAAAGTTAAAACCTGAGTAATCCACACCCTTCTTCATATCGAATATATTTTGATTTCGGGAATTTATTTGCAGCAGATTTATTGCAATAGTTCGAGAGGCTTATTCATCAGTGCAATAAATTGCGCATTCAATTGCGTTCCAGATGGGTGTTCTTCAATATGGTGACTAGAGAGGCATAACTGGAGATGACAGTGATAGACCTAGTGTTGTACAGAAGCATTTGCAACTGAATACATCATAATACTTGTTAATGACAATTACGAAAGAGCTTGTGCATTGAGCTTAAATAATTTTCTTATTATATTTTAATAGAAAATGGTTAAGGAAGCTATGTTGTGGCATGAACTTATTGGACTGTTTTGACACCAAATTTAAAATAATCTCTTATCCTGCTAATGAAACTTCTCTTAATCCTCCATCAAATCGGGCAGGATAACCACTACTTCTTTCATCCCATTCATGGAATAATCAATTTCATTAAGGCTAATGGTTAACAATAACCTTCTCCGAATAAAGTAGAATCCCAGATCTATCGGGAAACTGAGGTAAAATAAGTGGGAAACGGTGAACGTTATAGAACAAAGAACTGGGAAACGTGAGAGAAGCGGCCATAATGAGCGAGAACTATCCAGAGTTCAATAGACAAGTAATTTGAAGAAATGGCTAACTTTGTCTTTCATGAGGTGCCGAAAGACCATCTATTGGGTGGGCAACTAAGTCATTGCCGTTTTTGTTGACGGATTCACTCTATACTTTCTTTTGTTTTGTTAACGTGGCCAGAGCATCTAACCTATATTTTTTTCTTACTGTATGGGCTTCTAGGTTAATTAGTAAAAATTTTTTTATTGTTTAGTTCTTTAGTTTCGTTTTTATCCCAATTTAAAAATGAAAGAACAGGACGTGCACTTCCGACACATTTTATTGTATTACTTCCGAAAAGGCAAGAATGCATCGCAAGCACAAAAGAAGTTATGTGCCGTATATGGAGATGAAGCCTTAAAAGAAAGGCAGTGTCGAAATTGGTTTGAAAGATTTCGTTCCGGTGATTTTTCACTGAAAAATTCACAACGATCTGGCCGCCCAGTCGAAGTGGATGAAACCCATATCAAGGCCATTATCGATTCAAATCGTCACAGCACAACACGAGATATTGCAGAGAAGCTCAATGTGTCGCATACATGCATTGAAAAAATTAAAAACTCTTGGTTATGTCAAGAAACTTGATTTATGGATCCCTCACCAGTTAAAGGAAATTCATTTGACGCAACGGATTAGCATCTGTGATTCGCCGCTACTGAAACGCAATGAGAATGATCCATTTCTGAAGAACCTAGTTACTGGCGACGAAAAGTGGATAGTTTATAACAATGTTACTCGCAAGAGATCATGGGTGAAGCAAGATCAACCAGCCCAAACAGTATCAAAAGCAGAGATTCACCAAAAAAAGATTATGCTGTAAGTCTGGTGGGATCACAAAGGAATTTTGTATTTTGAACTCATGCCGCAGAACCAAACGATAAATTCAAATGTGTATGTTGAAGAACTCGAAAAACTGAAGGATGCAATTGAAGATAAGCGGCCGGCATTATCAAATCGGAAGGGTGTTGTTTTCCATCATGATAACCCAAGGCCCCACACATCTTTGGTTACTCGGCAAAAATTATTCGAACTGGGTTGGGATGTTTTGTCACACCCACCATATAGCCCTGACCTTGCGCCTTCGGATTACCATTTTTTTCGTTCCATGCAAAACTCTATAAATGGTAAAATTTTTAACAACGAGGATAATGTCGGATCGCACCTAATTCAGTTTTTTAACAGCAAAGACCAGACATTTTACGAACGGGGAATTTTTACTCTGCCAGAACGGTGGAAAAGGTCATCGACAAGAACGGCCAATATCTAATTGAATAAAGTTATATTTTTAAACAAAAATTCCGAATTTGCCTTCTTATTTGAAATCGGCAATGACTTAGTTGCCTACCTAATAGTTGAATCTTCCAAGATAGTAACTGTATATTTGTTCCTATGTACGCTAGACAAGCGAGCAGACCTATAAGTCGGTCTGGTTTCATGATTTTGAAATAAGACCCAAAATTGGTTGGCTGGATCTCTTAATAGGAGGTTAAGAAAGCCAGAAACTTCTATTTATGGAATATTTTTATGGTATGCTCGAAATATGTCAACAAAGAACTCTTTTCTATACTGCGGACATTCAAAACTATTTTCCTGGAATAAATGTACAAGTTCATTGAAAATCAATTCTCTATTTTTACAAATCACTATTAGTTTGATATAAAAATAATTTTTTGAACGTAATACACTGAAAATAATGGAAGATAAAAATATATTTCACGTAAAAAATAGCTTGATGTTTGTTCTTAAACCACTCGTATCTCGATTGGTGAATCTATGGTTTTGAGTTAAGAGTGACAATCTGTGCGAGGTGTTCATGGTTTCAACGGCAGTAAGTACTTCTAAGAGTTCCTCAATTATCATCTTTGGCTATGAGCGATGCCAGGAGCTCCTCCAACCATAAACCCAAATTCTACAACACCTTTCGCTAACTAAACTCAATAGGTTTTGCTGGTCATTCCGCCAAATGGTGTCTACCAACAGGAAACTAACTTTGCTGACAAGCACCTCCAATAAACTTGCACTGTTTCCTCATTTCACTCAAATGCTTAAACATTCCTTTAAAAAAGTAATGCTTTCAATTAATCTTAATGAACTTGGTAAGATTGGCTTTTAAATAAAATTATTGTAAGCATAAATTTTATTTATGACACACATCGGAGTATGGAATTGGAATTAATTTTTTATATCTATTTAAATGAACAGAATTTAATCAAACTGGATAGAATGTGTTTGCGTATATTGTTTCATGTTGTTACAATATATGTTTGTCAAATGAAGTGAGTAGTTTTCGGAATGTTTAAGCCTAGATGGACATTAATAAGTTTACAGAGTGCTCTAGATTGATTTTCAAATTGAATAATTCGAGAGATTTTATGAAAAATTAATTATATTTTCTTAAAATATCAGCTTTTCTGCTGGCGAATAAAACTAACAGCAGGAAATGACGAATTCAGTCCTTCTTATTGTTAGTTGAGTTTGCATTATTCATAAAGGGTAGAAAACCGGGCAACAAAACTCAAAGTCGCATCACAATTATTTTGCAACGGAGTGAGCATTTGTTACCAAATGTCACTGTTTCGAGCACCGATCTTATCAACCTTTGAGCTCACGTTGAAACTGATATTTATTCTTGACAAAAGCTGTCATGAGTTTGTCAGAACTTCCATCTCCAAGATCAATTATATTAGGACATTATTCATTCACATTTGGCCTTTATTGGTTTAATAAAGTCGATTAAGAAAAGTAAACCTATTTCATGCCTATCTCCTTTCCTAACTTAATTAAAATATATGAATAATATTGCAACAGTGTTGAAGAGTACTTATTCATGCAATATTTAATGGACTTATAAATTAGACGAACTGCGATTTTAATAATCAGTTTTAACAAAATTAAAGTTGAAAATGAAGTAAAGTTGGATAATTGAGGTTGATTATGCTCAGAGTTTGAATAACGACGAGACCAAACGAAACAATGATCAAACGTTTAAGAATATAATTGTTATCTGAAGCAATCTGAAATCATCAATTATTGGGAAAACAAAAGGTTTTGCATTTTAAAGTTATTTTCACCCTCTTGGTAACCGCCCTCTTGAAACTTTCAACTAATGCAGTTAATAAATAGGCAAATATTTTGATTCCATCAATAATTATATTAAATGAAGTGAGGCTCTGCCTAGTCGCCAAGTTTAAGTGTGAAAATGATGTACTAACGTTTAGTGTTCCAAATATTTGGAAATAAAAATATGAAGAGTTGAAAAAAATTGTCTCAGTTATTAAAGCAATCAATCAGCTCTAGACATTATTGGTATGAGCACGAATGGAATCAAGTAAAAAGTGAGTTATGATCCTTTTGATAAGCCAGATTCTTCCCATTAATGGTCTGAGCCTTCCATTTTAATTCCTTTAGAATTTGCTGCCGCTCAGGTTCCATTCCAATTTTGTATTACTTTGTCACTGATTTTAATATAAAAATACAGTGCTACGAAAAGCACAAATATACTTGATCAAGCAGTCTTGATATTTAAAGTACCGGGAGAATACAAATTTCCATTTTCTACTCTAATTATAAATGGCTAAAACTTATAATAAATGGCAGGCGTTTTGATTGTTATCATTAGCCATTTAGTTGACTTCGGGCTTCACAGAGGGCAGGAGGCACATAAAAGTGAGAAGAATTCAGGAGGGGGAATAGAAGGGTGTTTCAAAGATGTAAAAGAAACAGATACAAAGGCTCAGGAAGGGTAAGATGAGTAGTGGTAGGGGTCGAATATGACATAAAGTGGGGGGGGGGGGGGGTGAGGGTAGTTTGAAGTGAGAAGTCAACCGCCGATTAATAGACATTTTTGCCGCATGAGTATACGTTGCCCAGGGTGCACCACGTGGAGGTAAGTCCATCGCACACCCCTAAATGGCTAAAATTGAGGGTATAAATGAACTAATTGCTAATTTTTGATAATAAAGTGACTATAATGATTTACTTTCAATAAAATACTTCCATTTGGTATTGATTTACTAAGTAATAAAGGCCATAAACAAGGTGATTCATTAGAAAAACGATAAATCCTAAGGATCTGTTCTAAGATTCAGGGCAAAATATTTCGCACACTAAATACATTGATAAATGACCAATGATTTCTCCAAGTAAAGCGCATTTACAATTCAGTAACGTTAACGCAGTTAATAAAACCCATAAACGTGATGCATCGCACGATCACAAAAGACTTTCCCTATACAGGCTTCTAGGAATATGAAAAATTTTACTTTCGAATAATATAAAATGCAGTTAGATTTTAATTTTTTACGGGAATAGAAGAAAAAATAAATCTGATGTTCTTAAAAACGTAGATAATGAACGTCCTTAAAGTTATCATAAATATTGGTTTGCATAAGAAAGGTAACAAATTGGTTTTACAACAAAGTACTCCAAAAATCAAATCCAAGGAAAACAACATGGAAATGCCTGAATGTACTTTAATTTTTGGTTAAATGATGATGGAAAATATTTACTGGCTTAAAATCCTTGTACTCCTTCCAATGCCGATCAGAGCAAAGCTATCATATCAAAAAATCGATTATCCTATTAAGCTTTTTGCCCATCTGAACACAGCTCATCGGTTCGGTCAAGGAAAGGGATATTAATTCATCACTTTAATTTTGCAGTTGATCTCAAATAGTCCCCATGCCGTTCGGTGTGTTTCGATAATCATATTTATATTTTGTGGTGTTATATATAAATATATTTTACCTGATATATTTCCATGTATATTTTAAATCCCTTAAACTTGCTGAATAATAAATTTTATTTGTTTTCGAGTCCACTATCCTTCGTATTTATCGTATCTTTTTGACAAAATTTTGTCCTTACAGATAAACTCTTTATTTTTTCTAGTTTTAATTAGACTATCTTTAATTAAATACATTTGAATTGTTTTGGCTCTAAATTAATTAAGTTAAAATTAGTGTTAAGGCAGTATTGATGAAAGTCAATAAAGGATTATAAAATTTGTTGTTTGCCTAAATAATATATTTTAGTAATTGAGAATTTTAGTATATTGACTTATTTCTAGTTTCATTTTCAGACGTATGAAATATTTTTAAATCGATTATATCAGGAAAATCTCGAGATTATTCGGAAGAGAAGGATCACTGAAGAAGAGGACCTTCTTTTTCTTCTTAATTTGATTTACTATATGAATCGATATAAAACGATTCAATAATTTAAATGCATTTTGGAGGGTTAATTGAAAATATCTGTGTGCCTATTTAATGTATTCGTTTCTTCTATTATTATTTATTCTCAACACAACGATAAGAAACTTAAGTATCAATTAAATGATGTTAATAAATTTTTATTTATTTAATTATACTTGATAATCATTTTCATAGTTAAAATGTTTACTGTTTCGTAGATATTTACCAAAACAGAAGTAATGGCCCTTGGTGCTTGACACGGCAGGATGTTCAAACACCATTTGAAGAAGTAACAAGATCTCTTCTACTTCCAGATGAATTAATTGGGTGCATAATCGGCAGGGGCGGTGCGAAGATAAACGCCATTCGTCAAGTAGGTTTACTGGTCATTCGAAATTTTTTCAGTTTGAGTTAAGCCTTGAACCGTCATTCTTTCGTTCTTTTTAAGGAATCAAAAGCCTTTATCAAAATTTCGGATGCAGAAGAAGGTTCAAATCTTCGCCGTATTACAATCAAAGGAAGTCCTAGCGCTGTGCGTTTGGCTATATTCTACATTAATCATACGTAAGTCCGAAAGACAGTGGTATGACCACATAGTACCATAATATACAGTAAATGCCTTTTCTATGTAGCGTAAGTCTTCATCAGCAAATCGTTCAGATGAATCTAGTCATCGATATAGCTCAGCAAATCCAAAGTATGAACGAAGAAAACCGCCAGTAAACGAAATATGTGCAAGCGTATTGAACTCCCATTCCGAATCCATCAAGTTGATATTTGCTACCTTAATTGTAAAACACTTAATTCGCTCTGTTGTTAAACATTTTTGAACTAGTACTCCTCAAGTATGACTTAATTCACCCCTTTCCTTAACAACCATTCGCCCTTCACCTCAAATTAAATTCAGCGCCTCTTGTTAATATGATAAATGAAATAGAAATATAATCACTCGATAATATTTCTTGTCTTTAGCTAATTACGTTTTAATTTTACAGAATTACACTCAAAATTTAATCTAGCACTGTTCAATATTACTCAAAAAACTCCTGAGTATTGGTTTACCATATCCTGAAATGATTTCAAATGCTTCGATTATTCTCCAGTCTGTCAGATTAAATAACTTTGCCTGCAAAAATGAAATATGAGGCCGTTGATTCCGTGGAGTATTTCGGAAAAAAAGATAATAAAAAAGATTACGATGCTGGAAATAATTGATTTACATCAAGCAATGAATTTTTGTTTTAAATGAGTAAGTATTTATTATTCAAAATGGTTATGATGTCACAAACTGTCAGTTTATAAGTTATTTTTCGACTGTCTCTAACTTTATTCATTCGTTATTTTAAAAAATAAAAAGTTTTTTTCTTTTCATTCTTGCGACATACCTTAATGGCGATCTCAGCGATATTTTGGTTTGCTATATGCTCTAAATAAACAACCCATTCCATTATGCAGACATTTATAATTATGGCTTGAAGGAACTCACTGGTATTTATATTTGTTTTAATTTTTTAGATTTTATGAGCTACCTTTTATGGTGAATGACAAAGTTCTTGAAAAATATTAACCTGTAAATGCGATTTATTCATTTAACTCCGTTTTTCTCCAATTCAAATTTAGTTAAAAGACAAAGCCCTTAAAGAAAATAATGAGCAATGCTTACTCCTTTTTCAAAAAATATCTAAAACTAATAAAATGGTCTCAACTATGAGAAAAACGGCCCTATAAAAAAATGCAATAATGTGGTTGACAACTTAAATGTGCCATATCGGCTTTGATTAAATAGTTATTATATTATAAGAAGTTCCTCAGGCATTTATTATACATCTTGTGACATTTGAGCATTCAGGCTGGGAAATCGATGCTTTTGTCTTAAAGAACTGCAAGACTTCAGACGTTTTCGAGATGTATTTACTGTGGATATTAAAGTTGAAAATTGAAGGCGATTAGGGGCTTACAATATTGAAACTCCCAAATCTCCAGAATTGATAATTCTCTAAATTAGGTTGAATTTTATTTACTTCAACATCAAATATTGAGGTATTTAATATAAACCACTATTCACCATTCTGAAATAATTTAATAAGTTTGAGTTACCCTTCTTTTTCCTGTTATTTTATCTACGTTCTTGCAACATTTATGTGTGTGTGTACCAGTTAATGCATAAATCATCACTGAGAAAAGCCCAGGAAATTGTGGTCGATGGTAAGTTTGTCTGTAAAGCCAACTTAAATTCCTTTTTCTATCTGAAAATTTTTATGGTTCTGAAATTGGGGGAGGGAACGAGGGTTGGGGGAAGTTGCTATAGTACTCCCTCTTTTTCGTATTTTAATATTTACCTTTGCGTAAAAATAAGTGCTGCAATTAATCGTGTGTTTTATCACATTAATGTTTGAATTATGGCCCTAGCGTGTGCTATAATTCTTAATTGCCTTAATTTCCTCATTGCATGGTCTAATTTAACGATTAACTAGCTCAATTGTTTTGACAATTGTGTTTATAAAGAGTTATGGAGCATTTTTTCAATAAAATAGTTCAACGACTTTGTTTACACTGAGTGTCATAAAATTAAACTTGAAGTAATTAAGCCTTATCAATTTTTTAACGTTGTATAATCGACAAAGAATTGATGGATTAGAGGCACAATGGCTAAAATAAGATTTCAGCATGGCAATGTTTTTTATTATACCCACTAATTCACAAACCTTTCAAATTTCATTTGTGGTTAACAACTAAGAAATTTTATAAGACATAAGAAATCGTCACTTTATTTGATTATTTAATTAAAACTATAATTGATAGGTACCCCGCGTTCTAAAATTCAAATTGCAGGGTTCGTCTCACGCTGATTTTATTCACGACGATCGGTTTTACCTCGGTATTTTCCCTCCTTTTCCAAGGTGCAAATGGCAGTATGATCTTGAATGATACTCAACGTCTTACAGTTCTTAACAAAGCTGGGGCGAGCCACCTCCGAAAAGTTAATTTTTGCAGAGTTCCTTGAGCTTCATTCATTCATTGACGGTAGAAGCTGCAACATAAAACGAGATTCCTGTCTGTACTAACCTATCAGCAAAAGCTAGACTAACACAAAAGTACACTTAAAGCTGCATATTATATGGTCAAAAGCGTGTAGTAGATAAAAGTACGGTGATTGGAGGGAGGTTCAGCCTTGCTATTGACGCCCACAGCAATGCGAACGAATCGTTCAAGTTTTAATCGCGTAAAATGAGCTCAAGCAGATACGAAGTGGCAAGACCGATATCAGTAAGTATGTCAAGGAGTGAGGACATCACGTGTTTGAGTTCTGAATATTTGATTTTGTGTATATGCTCAAACTAAAAGAAGTTCAGTATGTGATAACCTTGTGCATATTCGAAAATATAATTTAATAGAAGTCACTTTTAGACTTTTAAGTGGATTTCGTTACGAATAGAATATGCATTTAAGTGGTGGTAAATTTATTTATCCCAATGCTCTAACCATGGTGCAGCCTCATAAATAGTTGAGTTCAGTATTGCTAAGTATAAATCTGATTCTGTGATCATATTGTGAATTTCATGCGAAGATTGGTAATCTCAAGGACTAATATACATCGATGGTTGTCAAGTCAGAAACCCCAAAATTAAGACTGGTAAATGATCGGAATGATTAATGATCTGTGTTAACTACAAATCACAAGTATCAACTTTCCATCAGTAGTCCAAAACTTCAAAACCTCCAAAATTAGCCCGCTAAAATAAAATTTAAATGGGTTTGTGAAATCAGGGTTGTCAAAGTAATAGGAGCAGATTCCATAAAAAACATGAATAAGATAAAGTGTTCCACATTTTAGGGGGACTTCTAATTAGTTTTCTTAAAGTTTAACTTTCTTTTCCAACTTGCTCTTCCAATATGGAAGAATTTAAGACAACATTTCCTATTCAAGTTGCCTCGACTTATGAGAAATTCTGCTAAAGCTCACAATTCAATATTTTAAGTATTAAAAGAGTGGTTACATTGCAAAATTCTTTTTTGTTAGCCTGCAACGCAGCAGGTGATTTTCAAATTAGCCAATTTCCAGTAGAGACAAGAATGATCTAATGGAACCTTTTGGATTCCCCTATCTCAAATCATAAGGATTATATCAATGAAGCTGGCGTGTGCGATAAACTTACCTCCATGTGGTGCACCCTGGGTAACGTATACTCATACGGCAAAAAGTCCTAAAACCGGCACACCTTCTGAACCTTTATGTCTGTCTGTCTTTTTCATATCTGTGAATCATTCTTCTGCTCCCCCCCCCCCTCTCGAATTTTTCTCACCTTGATATTTCTCCGCTCCGCGAAGCCCGAAGTCAACTAAAGGGCTACTGATAACTATTAAAACGCCTGCCATTTGAAATAAATAAATATCAATGAAGCTTGACGGACAACTCCACTTTCATGGTGTTCCTGCTATCGACTACAAATTGACATTCGTTCATCTGTACAACCACTGCATATCGCACAGAACAAAATTCTGAAAAAAAATTGCTAATGAACTTCTTAATTACCGCTGGCTAAATTTGGTTAAATGGACGTTAAAATATGACATTTTATTGCACAAAGGTATGCTGTCCATGTAAGAATTAACTACTAAAAAAGGCGTTTTCTTTCCCAGGGCGAGGGACGGCCAACTGTTAATTGGAGGGGGGGGGNGGGGGGGGGGGGGGGGGGCGGGGCGGGGCGGGAGATATTTAGAAATATTGCAAGGAAGTGAAGTAGTTCAATGCATATTTTCCACAGGGCAAGTTGTAAACATTTAAGGCTCTCTCTCTCTTCCCTAGGTTGGGGAATTTTGGCAAGCAGAAAGACGCAAGCTAATTTTTTTAAGGTGGCTAAACTTGTTCTTAGAACTGAGTTTTAATTCAGTCTGGCTAAAATAACCATTTTAGATTTCAAGTCAACTGAGTTTTGTATTCCCTCGATACACTGCAAATACTTTGCCAATGCTGGAAATCAATATATATATATATATAATGGCAGGCTTTATGATGGTTACCATTAGCCATTTAGCTGACATCGGGCTTCACAGACGGGAGGGGGAACAGAAAAGTGATTCAAGGATACAAAAGAGATAGACCGACACAAAGGTAGAGAAAAGATAATGTGAGTACCGTGAAGTGGTGAAATGTGGCATGGTGTCGGGACAGAGTAGTTAGAAGTCTTAAGTCAACAGCCGGTTAATAGACCTTTTAGCCGTATGAGAATACGTTGCCCAGGGTGCACCATGTGGAGGTAAGTCTATATATATATATATATATATATATATATATACTATCACAAAGAAATCAATTAGACACATGATTTTTTCGAATTTTTCTCATGAATTTGACAGTCTAAGGAATACGTCAGCATAACATCTGCTTACTTCAGCCGCTTCTTGGGCTAGCTCACCCACTGTATATTAATTTATAGCTTCTTTCCGAGAATAGTTGAAGTTTCTTAATAATTTTTTTGGCCATTCTCAATGGGGCAATGTCAATTTATGGGGATTGACAGGTGAAGAATCTTTTGCTTTAGGAATATCTCAATGTACGTCTGGTAAAATTATTCTTATCTAGGCTCAAATTGAAAATAAGTTGAACTGATTGTTCTGAGCTTTGGCAAAATGAGGGACTCTTAACTCTTTGGACCCCACTTTCATTGCTTAATTGCTCAATGTGTTTGGATTTCTATCCAGAAGGACAGTTGAAATATCAT